GCGGCGTAGTATATGCTCTGCAGCCTAGTCGACTGCAGCTCTCAGCTGTGCAAGGACTCTGGAGCTCGTATCGTTGGCTGTTTGGATACTAATGAAAAGTGTAAAATATGATGATGGCTGACACTGTAGAGGTACGGAGTAAGTAGATCATCGATCTAGTCTTACTTGGATAAAGAATCGTAAGGTGAGGTATGATAATGGAACAGCATCTCGGATTCCTGGTTAAACAAATACTTGATTGGAAAACGATTTGAAATGCACGAATCATCCTTGATTCACACCGCCAGCTGATCGGGAGAACCTGGAAGCAGGATACCACGAATGCCGGAGTAAAAGAACAATCAAGGGCTGAGCGGCGGGCTATACCTTACCTGTTTGATATATATATAGTAAATGCATATTGCAATCTAGAGGACATAGCAGGGACGAAGACAGGTGCGATAAGCCATACCAACATAGAGCGAGAGATTCATACGAACTACGATCGCCCCGCGGCTGTTCTTGTCAACTGGTGATTGTGATTGTGATTTATTTCGCTGATTTGGTTGTTTTTGTTATTGTTGTTGTTGTTGCTGCTGTTGCTGTTTCTGTTGCTGTCGTTGTTGTTGCTGTTGTTGATGTTGTTGTTGCTGTTGCTGTTGCTGTTGCTGTCGTCGTAGTTGTGCCGGGCCCGCTAATCCGCCTCCGCCCCCCGAGATATCAGGCACACGCTAGCCTGACCTTACCTTAGCCTTCGTGTGCCCTTCAACCTCCAATAATCAACTTCCAACTCTAGACCCAACTCCAACTCCAACCCATCACCACCACCACCTCCTCCACAACCACCACCCCCAACTTCTCCAAGATATCCCCCTCCGCAGCAAACGCCACCTCACCTCACCCTCACTGATACCTCCTTTCGTACTATTCAAACGCTACATCATGGCGGAGATTCGCAGAAAGCTTGTGATTGTTGGCGACGGAGCGTGCGTCCTTCTCCCTGGCTGAGGCCTTTCATACAATTACTAACTTTCGTGCCCTTCTAGCTGTGGAAAGACCTGTCTCCTGATGTATGCGATGCTGCCCGGTTTCTCTCACTCTACTGACTTTGGCCCAGTGTTTTCTCCAAGGGTACATTTCCAGAGGTAAGCAAATGTCTAACCAGACCCTCAAATAACCCTCACCTGATTCACGCGGTGCCTCATCGGCCATCTATCACGAAGACTACGAAACCCCCTATTACAAAGAGATATGAGGCTGATGGCGCTGGAATCTAGGTTTATGTCCCAACCGTCTTCGAGAACTACGTTGCCGATGTCGAGGTCGATACAAAGCATGTTGAGTTAGCTCTTTGGGATACGGCTGGGCAAGAAGATTACGACCGACTCCGCCCTCTCTCGTATCCCGATTCGCACGTCATCCTCATTTGCTTCGCCGTCGACTCCCCAGATTCCCTTGACAACGTCCAGGAGAAGGTGCCGCTACCCCTAAATCCACCCAGCTCAGGGCAGAAGAACCTGCTGACTCTTGCTCCCTCAATAGTGGATTTCCGAAGTTCTACATTTCTGCAGCGGTCTGCCCATCATTCTAGTCGGTTGCAAGGTGGATCTTCGTTTCGATCAGAGGACTATTGAGGAACTCCACAAGACAAGCCAAAAGCCCGTTACCCCCGAGCAGGTAAGAGAACACAAGCACCCGATCACGAGGTTGGGAGTCACTCAGAGAAGCATAACCCTGCAGGCCATGGACCGAGGCTGACTACTATACAGGGTGAGGAGACCCGAAAAAAGATTGGTGCCTACAAGTACTTGGAGTGTTCAGCAAAGACCAACGAGGGTGTCCGAGAGGTTTTCGAACATGCGACCCGTGCCGCACTCCTGACCAAGAAGAAGAAGGAGAAGAAGTGCATTGTTCTGTAAAGCTACCACCACCGACCTCTCTCTTCTCTAATGCGACGGGTACTCACACTGTACGACTCCTCTGGTGATGCGGATGCTTCAGGATGCGACAACGTGCTGCGACTCGTGCATTGCTCCTCTTACGGCGTTGATCTGTCATTTTTGATACTTCGTGGATACCTCAGAATACCCGCGCAGGCTTCATCACCGACCCTCAGCATACGAAAATGGCTTCCGAAACACCTCTTCTTCGTCTCTCGGCTCGGACACATCTTGGCATGGGAGGGCTTCTTTCTCGCTATGCTGCGCTATCTCTTTTCTCTCTCTCGGAATGCGTTTTTTGCCAGATCTTTGTGTGTGCGGGGTTCTCCTTTCTATCCTGCGTTCAGAGCGATTTCTGAATCGTAAGGGTATGGTCTTGCTGCTTCATCTCTTTCTTGGTTCGTTGTCATTAAGGGCAGGCTGGGAGACTGGATGCGCGTTTTCTGTATGGTGTAATAGCAATAGGCGTAGTCTATCAAGAGATGGTTTTTGAGATTTGGTCTGTAAAGTCTGCACGTTTAGCGAGTTAGCATTTGTGTTGAGCATAAGTGACTGGACTGATCAAAGTTGATGATGAGACAGACAAGCCTGAGTCTCAAAGAGGGGGGACTCATATCCAGCTGTCCGTAAAATCCTCTCTAATTATCTGGTGCTAGGCTTCATTTTGCTTACCAGTTGAACCCTCCTTGGTCCAATCCCTTACTACTGTCGATTTCCGTCAAGTCAGCTAATTTTTCTGATACTATGACCAAATTCTCTTGCTGTTTAGTTTATTGATACAAGCTTGATGATTTTACATATTGATGTCCCCAACGGCTCTGACTACATCTATTAGAAATTCTCCATTCCACGATACGCACGGCCTCATTCCTCGCAGTTCTAGTCACTTCCTGTTTGCAGCACAAATTCGCCCCGAAAATTTATTCTCTGAGACTAGGCCCAACTGGGCTATAGCCAGCGTTCACTTTCAAGCTGCTGCTACGCCTCACTGTACGAATAGTTCGAAGCTGTCTGGCAAATCTGGGCTCCTCGTCGCTGTCTGTGACGACCTCGTCGGTGGCTGTTGTATTTAGAGGGTCTGGAAGCTGGCTCGCGAAGATTCCATAAGGTTCGAGGGACACGAAGGCTGAAGATCCCGAAATAATGAATTCCGAGAACGAGGCGAAGTCGCCAACGAGCGAGCGAGAGCCATCAAATTCCATCTATTCTCCACCGTCCAAGAGCCACCCCTGGCTTTCCCTCTGCAGGACTATCCCCCGCATCTGGTTTCCTGCTCGAAGATCCAACGCAACTCTTGCATTTTTTCTGATTACCTGCGTACTCTATGCGAGCACAAGAGAGAGAGAGAGAGGAGGGGGAGAGAGAGAGAGCCCTTGCTCCTCGCTCACTCACTAAGGACTCTAAGCAGCTGCTTATTTATGCACAGGAAAGACAGTTGTATATTTCCTACTTTTCGAATTTTCTCCATCTTGTTGTCGGATTGAAATGAAGTGTGGGAATCAGCTGAAGCTACCCCATCTATTTCGGTATACTGTGGGCACGAGGCAATATGCTAAATCCACGAGCTCAAACCACCCTATCCTCAACTCGAACTCTTCCGTACCAAGGTCAGACCCTCTGTGGGCCAGCGTGGTGCAGTCCTGGGGGAAATTTCTCTCGACATTGGTGTGCGATATCGACGACATGTATTCGTATTAGGGTATCGGGGATTTGTTTCTTTGGCGCCGTTTCTAGCTTTCTTTTCTCACCTGGCTGACTTCGGTCCGGTCTCGATACATATCGTTGAAACGGCGACTTTGACACACGTCACGCTTTAAAGCTGACGACGGTTTCAGCCTCACCTATTTGATATTTTCTATTGATGCGTTCATTCGTTTCTACGATCTATCCTATATGTAAGAGGAGGGCTCAGTCGAGAGCCCCTTGGCTGCACCGTCTCGATATGTTGGTGTTACCAGGCCGGGTTGCAACTGAATAGGTATTCTTGATGTAGTGGATTTTTGCATGCTTCTAACTAGAAGGGAGAGCAAGCTACTTAAATAGCTTGCTGAGCTACAAACGATGTTACAGACTGGAAGCTATATAGCGTGACCTTTAGTAGGTCGTCGGTATGGCCTGACCGTGTATATGGCTTGACCGCCAGAACTTTCGTGTGACGCTTATTGACCTTTGCAAATGCGAGTTTCCAACGTTTCCAACGTTACCGAAGTTTCCAAAGGTTCCAGCAAATTACTCCCTAAGGCCTTCCTGTGTATGAATCCTTATCTTAGCACGTCTTCGTACCCTATAGGAGGCTCCGAGGTGGCAAGCTATCTACTGCCTGCAACCCGCTAGATAGATACAATAACAATAACAATCATGCTCAACCCCTAGCCTCTGGAAAATAGGCCGCCGTCGTCGGTAAAGACTTCGGTGATGTCTCGAAATTTTTGTCGCCGTTTCTCCTTATTGTAGCCCTGCTGCGGCCCTCTTCACTCGTCCGGCTTACTCTAGTTGAGTAGGACTTACCTCAGCGTGTTGGAGTATTTTTGCTGCTCGGGCACTTTTCCCGCCGATCTGGTTTTGGGTAAAAAAATTAAAAAAATTAATCTAGTCCTCCGAAACTAATCTGGGCAGAGACCTGCCAGAATTAATAGGCCTGATTTTCTATCTCAGGGCGCGGCAAAACAAAACTCGGAAACGGGGGGGCTTTGTTTACTTTGGTTCTCCAGATAACCGAGATATTTGACGCTAAGCAATGGCAGCGAGAAAGGGGCTTTTGTTTACCTGGTTTCCGAGATAACCGAGGAAGTGCATGCGACCCCAAGCAACTGCAGCTTTGGAGATGGGAGGTGTGGAGGCCACGCCGTGCATATTGCGAGGTGTTCGAGTCTGCGGATTTTCAGAGACGAGTCCGCCGAGGGTACGTAGATCGAATACTGAACAGTAGGATCCGGGCCAAGTCACTTGGGAGAGGGGTGGGGGCGTTTACGGTCGTGTCATAGGGAGTCAGGATCTCGGGTACGGGAACGGGAGGATAGGGAATGGGTGAGCCGTCTACGATACAACAGGCAGTTCGTGGGGAGCCTTGGAGAGTAGGGAAGATGGATTGGCTATATGTAGTTCATCTTTCGTGGCCCTAGCCTTTTCTGGTAGCCGCTTCGTTCCCCCCTCCCCATTTCGCGCTAACTTTCGTCCTCGAGTTGGACGTTTCCCTCTCGATCTCGCGCCCCCTTCTCCTCCGAGGAAACACCATCGACTACAACACTCACTCTTCCCATTGACAACCCGAGAGGAAACGAACAGAATGTGTCACTACAGAATCACCACGTACGAGAGTAAGTAGTGCACTCAAGCAGCAGCGCCCGCCCCTTCCTCTTCCTCTCCCGCGCGCGTTTCTCCCTCTCCGAAAGCCTGCTCTGCTCCCGCAGGCCTACAGAACGCCGTTCCTCCTGCTAACCTCAGCGATCTCTTCCAGACTGCAAGGCCATCAGGAAGCACCTGGTCGTCTGCGCGAACCAAGTCGAGCACTCCCACTTGCAGGTCGACAACCACCCGTGCGCCAACATCACGTCCGCGCAGCGGGAGCTCGGGTTCACCACCTACTGTAACTGCAAGGTCGACGAGACCCAGTGCAATCGAATGGCTCGTCCGGCGTTCGGGGAGCGCAGAGGCAACACTGGCTACACCTGGGCCTTTGAGAAGGTACCTGCCCGTGCCACTGAGTGGGGGGGGAGCCGAGCTAGGAACGAGGGGGAGGGGACCTCGAGGGCTGCATCTGAGATGGGTTCCAGCCATGGCGGCGGAGTTGGGGGTCTCCTTGGGCCTGGACGTCGGGGCGCGATTGATCTAGGAGGATCGAGAGGCGCCCGCGCTAGGGACGAGTAAGTGAACACTCCTTTTCTCTTTTCTCTTTTCTTCTCTTTTTTTTCTTCCCCCTCTTCTTGCGTTGGAGGAGGATAGGCCTGCTTGCTAACCTTCTTCTTCTGCAGTGATCAACCTATGGGTAGCGGGGTCCTCACGGACAACGCGGGAAACGGGGCCAAGAAGAGGTAAGCCCTCGACGCTACTCTGCTCGATGAAGGTGCTGGAAGCTGACAGCCACTAGGAAGACGATGGGGGATACCAGCGGTACCGTCGTCGACAAAGAGAATGAGGTCGGCCAAGATGTTGACATGGGCTTGTAGACAGTGCCAATGGCTCTGCAAGCCGTCCGTCGAGAGCTCTGCCTGTGAGATCACGGTGCTGGGGATGGGCTGGTACTGCTGACTTCGGCACATACAACTCGGTCCACGTCCTTGGACTTTCCTCATGGGGGCTTGGTGGTAGCCTTCTGCTTTCATTAGATAGCTTGCGCGGCACCTCGGGGAGGTTTTACTTGCCGATCACGAACTCCCATTCGCGATCCAATCCACCGTGGCCTTCTCCTGGCTTTCTATTCTCTCTTCTGCGCTCTCTTCTTTAGCGCCCTCTTCTTTTGCGCTCTTTCGTCGCTCATGAGAAGAAAGTCTCTTCTTCTCGCTTACCGCCTGCCAGCAATGAAGAAGCCGAAGGGCGATGAAACAACCCAATAGAGATCTCTGCAGCACACTGGACAGCAAGTCGCAAGTGGGTTTGTAACCTTTGCATTCCTCAGCTCCGCATAACCTATCAGAGAGAGGAGAGGGAGAGCCGCCCCCTTCTTCTTCCCCCTCTTCCAACCTACCGTATAATAACCATGGCCGTCTCTCTCGCGTACAGCTGCTTGCTACGTAGTGCATAGACTTTAATCTCGCACCCAAAACTCGTACTGTGTATGGATTTGACAGCGTGGATTCTCTCTACCCGTAAGCTCTGAGAGGTAAGCGAAGATTCTGAACCCTTTGGATAGAAACCCAGCCTCAAGATGAATCGCTCATGACTACAAGACGGTCTCGTTTGGTGTTGTTATTCAATAGGGTTCAATCTCAGGCGGGAGTGTAGAAAGCAGTTAGTTAGTTGGCTTTTCGATCAGCTTTCGGAGAAGCGTTAAGAAAAGGAGCGACTTCAGCTTTTTTATCTTCTCCATCTCGTAGTAGGTCTATCGAACAAGTACAGTTAAGCTTGACGGTTCCATTTACAACTTCCCCGAAGATAGAATCGTTAGATTCTGGTTACCGATGTTTTTTTTTCGAAGTGTTGACCCTTGAGTTTTGGTGCGAAAGGAGGTAATTGTACCTACCTTACCTGCCTACCTATCCCATCTACCGCCCCCCCTTCCACAGTCACGGCCACAACATCCAATCCCACCTGCGAGAAATCCCCGAGGAGCCGTCGTAGAAATAAAATAAAAAGCGTTCCCGACATGGATGTACACATACACGTACATCCATCCATCCACCATCCATCCATCCAACCAACCAACCAACACACACATCCATCTTACAGCAGTCCAACCAAAAACGCCAATTCTTTCCCGAAAACCTTCGTTCCCTTTCGAAGTACCTAGGTAGTACCCACCTCCTCCCTTAAGAAGCAGGATAGTAAGAAGAAGATATTCGCCGCCGCCGCAGTTCGTAGAGCTGCATTCGGCTAGCCGCCATCCGCTATCCGCGGTGGGTGGTGGTGGTGGTGGTGGTGGTGAGGGAGGGTAGCGTACTGCTTTGCTACAGTACTGTATGATAGGCGGGCGATGGTAATGTGCAGTGTTGTCCTTGATTACCCGGTTTTGCGCACGTTCTTAATTACTCACTCACTCACCCACTCACTCACTCTCTCTCTCACTCCACAGACTAGCCAGCTACCTACCCACCTGAGTCATTCCTCTCGCGAGAAACACAGAGAGGAGGACTCCATCATCTCCATCTCCATCTCCATCTTCTCCTAT